TATAAAAGTGCTGGTATTCCCTCACTTGTACTGTGCATTACCAACTTGTTGATGGAAGTTACATGAGGGGCTGTGGTAATTCATCATAACGATAATAGTTCTTGTTGCTAATGGTAATGGTGGTGGCAGTCGTATAGTTATAATAGTTATGATGGCACTGCTACCAATAATCGTAAACATAGTAACAAAAAGGGGCGCACCTGAAGCAGAGTGTGCCCTGAGAAGGTGAATGTTTAGGATTCAGGCGCATAGGACATTGGTCATGAGATGCCGCAACCAGAAACCCCAAGCACCAAATAACAAGCTGCCGAACTTCCCAACATTTGCACAGAGTGTGGGGACCGAGCGTCCTTCCGCGGGATGGTGAAAGTTAAGAGTTGATCCGTGCTTCATGCAGCTAATCCCTGAAGCCTTCGGAATCCTTAAGGCCATAGGTCATGATTGCCACAGTCTTGTGGCAGGAAGAATACTAGGAATAACTGCGACCCGGAGCGCCCCTTGCGAGGTTCCAGCGCCCGGATGGCAGCATCTACGGCCAGGGAGCCCGGCAGAAGAGCGCTGCGACGACACCTGAGGCAGCACATTGCTCAGCGGCTTAGGACGCGTAGGTCTTTGGGAAAAGGGTGTTAAGTTTCCTTGAGCCGCGAGTAATCCCCACACCCAGGATTTAGGAAGTTGAAGGATTCGGCTTGTTATTACCGTTTAGGGCTCAGAGTTCGGGTGGAGTAGAGATGAGGGTAGTATAAACTGCTTGCAGGGCTGCGTCCGGCTTGAGAAGACTATAGTTGGGGCAGACCATAAGCCCTAGAAAGCCTTAATGCCCGAGTGGTCGGGTCCGAAGTGGGATCTTGGGAAAGTTTGGTGCCTTCCAGGACCCTCTCCTTGTACCCTCAAGTAGAGTATCTGGTCCCAAGTACTAGGCATTTAGGGTCCAAGAGCGGGTAGATGGAGGGTCTAGGTTATTGTCCTTCCCAGCAAACCTCATCTGAGTTCAACCGTATGCTTTCTGCTAAGGTCGGAACAGGGCCGAGGGGGCACTGCGTGCACGCTTAGAGTACGCTTGAAAGATGCAGAAAGCTTTTGTCATAGTTGGGGTAGCGTTTTACACGTTTATGGATACTTAAAACAAATAAAGAGCAAAAGTTGTAGATATTGTCAAAAAACTATCTCGACCATGAACTAGAAACCTCACATTCTCCAGCCATCGCTCCGTTTTCGCGTTGCAGAGGCTCGCGAGGTTGATCCGGCGTCGCTCGCAGAGGAGCGTCTCTATCTTGATTGATGACAGTAGGACCCCGAAGCCCTAAACCCCAGGACTCTAAGCCCAACCCCTAAAACCCGACACCCGTAGACAAAACAAGCTCCAAAACATCCTGAACCCTCTAGTATTTTGGTGGTACTTTGTTATTTTGGGGTCCTTATAATAAGGATCCTACTATTTAGGGCAGTATATTAGGGTTTCCTTTCTTGATTTTTTCAGAAACTCCCATCTCTGCATCTAGGAGGATGTTCGGAGTCGAGGATGTCAGGCTGTCGAAGCTTAGAGTTCCCGAGTTCATGGTTTGCTAGGACCTAGAGATTAATTATAGGCTTTCAGGTTCCCTAGACCCTAACCCTAAACCCATAGTGGTAGTCGATCTGGACGCGCTGCGTTCCTCCAAGAATTCAATCATCAGCACCCGTAAATCCGGTGATGTCTCCCGAAGCTTCCGGCCCGGTGTGTTTTGCAAGGCGACGAGTAGGGAAACGGTTTAGGGGTTTAGGGTTTAGGGGCTCAGGGCTTGGGATGAAGAGTGTTTGGGTAGCCTTTTTTGGGTTTAAAGTAGTCAGAAGCTCCGTGGGCATTTTTACAGGATCGGCTAAGATGTACAACGGTTGTCTCCTGTACTGTCTCTTCCAGGCCTTTCCCTTAGGGTCCAAGTACCTAATTATCATATACTCTCCCCAATAGTAACCTACATAACTACTATCCTGAAACCTTAGTACTTAATTATTGGGTCCTTTGGACCCTTAGGGTTTGCAGTGGCATAGGATCAGCCTTGGGTCCGCAGGCCGCTTCACTTTGTTTGCTCTAAGGGTCCAGGTATCTCCTTAGGAGGGTCCGGAATCTCCTAGGGAGAGTCCTTGGGTCTCTTTGGGGTCTCAGAATCCCTTAATTTCAATCTTCCCCGATTTTTTAGGACCCTTGGGGTGGGTTAGGGGTTAGGCTTTGGCGTTTGGGGCTAGGGTGTTGAAGAACAGGGCCTACAATGTCCAACCGGGTCTTGAGGTTGCGTTCCGGGCTTAGGGTTTAAAGTGTCTGAAACTGAAAGACAATGTCCCTGCATCTGCAGATGAAAATATGCTGTACCTCCTTCTCCGTTTTGTATTGATTCATAAGCATCCCCTTCGGATGGGTGTGGGACTTGCCTGTAGCCCGAAAACCCTTCCCAAGGACAAATGTAAGATGAACGCATCAGAATTTGAACCCCTAACATGTGTTCTTGTTTGGCTGCTGGTAGGGAATAGGGTGGTTCAGCCGGGCAGGAGGGTGTCCGCATGGCAGAAGCCTTCCGACGAGAGAATGTCGACCCGTACTTCGACTGGGCTGCGCATTATGGCGAAGGAGATCTGGCTGGTTTCCGAAATGAGTAGATCCCGCGATTGAGTAACACCACTGGAACGTGCGAATAAGGGGGGAGGGGCTTCTCGAAAGTAGGGTCGGGTTTACAATTTGCGGTCCCAAACGGGGCTTTGGGCTCAAGTCCCTTTTTCGAAGAGTGATGCAAAATATTATTTGTGGACCCCCGGAGGGAGGCTAATATTTAGAGAACTATGCACATGAATGATGTTCACATGTGCGATGTTCGAGACTTCGGGTTTAAGCTCTTGTATTTTAGACTGTTGGCTCGCATACTGTCTGATGTTCACACCCATAGCCAACTCCGTGAGAAACGTCAGGTTCTGTTGACGGAAGCCTTGTTCGGAAGGATCCGCTTGTGAGATACTGGGCCATGGGTTTGGAAACCTGACTACCCTAAGGCTCCAAAGTAGTTCCTTTTCAGTATTCCCAAAAAGGAACTACTGTAATTTTATAAGGTATTCCCAAAAAGGAACTACTGTAATTCTATAAGGTATTCCCAAAAAGGAACTGTTGTAATTCTATAAGGTATTCCCAAAAAGGAACTACTGTAATTCTATAAGGTATTCTCAAAAAGGAACTACTGTAATTCTATAAGGTATTCCCAAAAAGGAACTACTGTAATTCTAAAAGGTATTCCCAAAAAGGAACTACTGTAATTCTATAAGGTATTCCCAAAAAGGAACTACTGTAATTCTATAAGGTATTCTCAAAAAGGAACTACTATAATTCTAAAAGGTATTCCCAAAAAGAAACTGTTTTAATTCTATAAGGTATTCCCAAAAAGGATCTACTGTAATTCTATAAGGTATTCCCAAAAAGGAACTACTGTAATTCTATAAGGTATTCTCAAAAAGGAACTACTGTAATTCTATAAGGTATTCCCAAAAGGAACTACTATGGAGCCTCTGGCTCGTCACATGTGTCGAGCCTTCAGACATCGTCAGACGACGCTCGTAGAACGGACAGAAGGTGGAGTGGAGGCCTATCATCGGTTTTTTAGGATTTATAGGGTTTAGGGGTTTAGGGTTAAGGGTATATAGTCTATCATAGTATTTTGCAGTAAGTATAAGATTATAGTATATATACGCGGTAGTGAATAGCATACTCAACTAGTCCAGTCCAACCCCTGGGTGGACTACGTCTACGTCTGGCATCATTGAGTTTGAAGACCGTGGGTCGGAAAGTGTGTTCTTTCCAAGCGGCATAAGAAGTCTTGAACCCCCCAAGTCTCTCAGCCCCGGGACCCCCTCATGATGACGACGGCTACATCAAGCCACCACTTCCCTTCCAAATGACTACTGCTAACCGCCCCTCCGAATGCCTTGAACCCTAAAGCCTTAAACACTAAACCCCCGAACCCTCAACTCTAAACGACTACCGGCATCAATCGCCGCTCTCAAGGATTCGACATCCTCTCGCCCAGCTACGCGCAACCTGCGCGGAAAGTGGTCAGCGCTGAGGAGATCTCTCAAAGCCACCGGTGTCCCAAGACAGTGCTGGCTGCTGAAAATTAGGATCAAAGATCCTAAACGGAAACACCTGAAGCACAGGGTTTCCTCATTTTCAACGTCTAACTTACTTATGAGCGTGGCTGCAGAGAATCTGCTCGCCTTCCCCTCTATGTCCACATACGCATGACCCGAGCATGCCCCATGTACAGCATGTACAGAGTTTCGGAAGGGATGGTGAAAAAGGTGGCACTCTTAGGAGGTTACTGGGCTGATACAGGAAGTTCTTTGAAGCATGCTATGGTTTTTGACTTCTATACAGTTAAAACCATGCTCGCCTAGCACGGCTACCGTCACACCATGTAACATCCCCCAGCCCAAAGATAGAATGCACTCTTAGTAGTATCCCCAACACCCTACTATGCATGCCACGGCTGACAGTAGGAAAGGGATTCCTTGCAGAAGTTGGCACAGGGTTTGGGGTTATCGCAGTTTGTTCCGTGCCCTCAGCCCCGGCCCCGAATGCCTGGGGACCTCCTACACCCGAATCCCTGAATTCGAAAGCTTTGAAACACTACGGTTGATGATATAAATCCTGCATTACCTGAAGGGCCCTAAACTGTGGGAGTTATGGTATATTCCTTATTATGGGTAATGCAGGATTTATATCATCAACAGTAGGAGTATGAACCCTGAAAAGAAAAGCCCCAAAACCCGTATGCCAACAAAACCTAAGGTATTTGACTCTAGAAGCCAGAAACAAGTTGGAACAAATTTTCTTCTGATGCCTGAAGCTAAGCTATAGTGAATTCCAGCACTAATCATATTAATTGAAAGTTGTTTAGCTTTCTGGGTTCAGTGTAAACACAAGCAGTCTCTAACACCCTAGCAACACTGGCAGCACTGTAAGCCCCTGTTCTAGTTTCGAGGCCGCCTACGATCGGCTAACGTGGCGACTGGAGAAGCTTCTTGTGGAGTTGAGGCCCGTCCTGGGTGGAAGGGCTCTTTCCGGGCTTAGGGTTTAGGCTCGTGCTTTGTGGTTTTGTGGGCTGTCTGGCTTCCTGTAGGGGTTGTTAAAGTTCCCATCACAATTTTGTAGGGCTCCTGTTAAAGGAACCGTTAATGGCTACCCAGAGACTGCACAATCCGCAAATCAAGGCCTAGATTTCAAACGTGTTCAGATACCCGCCATAACTCAAGGTATCCCGGTATCCCCTTCATGTAGGAACCTGATTCAGAAACCTTGGGCCCATAACACCCAAAAAAGTAGGATTCATACAAGGAACCCTAATAAAGGAGACAGGAACAGATGTTGAGAGCTACTAAGGGTAACGGTACTGGGGGCGTGGGGCCGGGGTGCTAGAGTCGCAGGTTTTAGGGGCTGTGGGCCTAGAACCAGGGTCGCGTCTACTTAAAGGGTCATGGGACTTAGTAGCTATAGCGTTATAATAACTAAGGTAACTATACTTATCATTACTTAGAACACCAAATAAGGTGCTTACAACCTTTCTTACTAAGTCCCATGATCCTCCAAGTAGGCCATCATGGGTAATCCGTTGGCTGAGGGAGCCCGCCCGCAGATCCCGATTCCCGAAACTTTGTGAGTCTTGCACAAGAAGTTCAGGGTTTAGGGTTGGGATTCATGGTGAGGCACTCGAAAGGCAACTAGGACCTATGCCAACATCTAGGCTTTATGTAAGAAGAGCACATAAGCACAACATGCTTACACAGCCATCTGGGAGCAGCAGACGACCCCTACTTATAGATAACATACCATGTGAACACCTTCTGGATCCCTGCCAGCAAACACCCCTATCTAAACCCTAAGTCCCTAAACCCTAAGCCTAAGCTCCAAACAAGCACTTTCTCATAACCGCGCGAACGATGTCTATGGCCCGGTGAGGATGATGAGTTCCTTTTCGGAAACGCAGATGAGTTTGGCCGACTTGCTGGCATTCCTGTGGGCCGCTGGCCAATGTATTGTTTTGGGTTCAGGGGGGATTAGGGATCTGGGTTCCGGGTTTAGGATTTACTTGGAGGATCGTGGGACTTAGTAAGGCAGGTCATAAGTACTTCAAATGGGACTATGAGTACTTAGAATAGTAGAGTTACCTTAATCATAGCCCAAGTTACTAGTTTCCATGACCGTTTAAGTAGGGTCGGGTTTAGGGCGACCGTGTAGGGCTTTGGGTTCAGGGACTTCGTGCCGATACTCTAAACCTTGAACCCCCGCTCGACTGCGAGAAGCCTTCGACGCCAAATCCTCGCTCTTGGGCGCTCCGGCTAAAACAGGGGCCATAATGAAACCCTAAACCCTAAACCCTAAACCCCAAACCCTTAACCCTAAACGGTATAGGCTAGGATAACCGAAGTCTGTAAGCGTATAGAAATTCTATTTCCCCCGACCTCGTTACTTGGTCCCCTGGCCCAGAGGCGCGCTCCTACGGTTGATGGTATAAATCCTGCATTACCTTAAGGACCCAAAACTATGGGAAGTATGGTATATTCCTCATTATGGGTAATGCAGGGTTTATATCATCAACCACGAAGTAGTGTCCACTGCCCCCTGCGGCTCCAAAACCGTAGACCCTCAAAACCTTCATAACCCCAGGGCCGTGAAGAGGCTGCCACCTTAAAGCACCTGCATAGGTCTAGAATAATATAGAAGCTTGAATAGACTTGTTTGGGAAAAGCGGCATAATACGATTACCCATGTTTCCGTCTTTACGGTTTTGCGAGGTTTTTGCTGCCCAGCATGCAGCAATCAGTTTTCAAACCACAGCTGTTAACCGAGCCGCTTCGCCCCTTTGACAACCACGGGACTCCCTTGAATCTAACCCTAAACCCCTAAGCTCTAAACCCTGCTACATCCGGAGCCGCCTTAAACTCAAGACATGAACTTCAGGCTTGGGGTTTGGGGTTTTTGGGCATACATATATATATATATATATATACATATATATATATATATATACATATATATCCCGCCAAAGTACCTTATTATTCCCAACCAAAGTGCCTAACTACTTGGTGCACTGGACCCCTATAACATCCCTATATAAAACCCTAAACAAGCCCTTATATCATAGAACCCTTCTGGCGCGGGCACTCTCATGAAACCAAACACCTTCATTGGGAACGGTCCCCAAATTCCTCAGCCCTGGACCCCTAGACCACCTCTATACAGCCCTAAACCCCTAAACCCCTAAACCCTAAACCCGTAGACCCCAAACCCCTACACCCCTAAACCCTACCTTAACCCCTAAATCCTAAACCCTTCTAACCTCCGAAACCCAAGGAGCTCGTCGTCCTGGCGCACAAGACAGCTTTGGGACTCATTTGGGTGAACACCACGCATCGGCCAGGCCTAGGCATCTCGGTATAAGGGTTTAAGGATTAGGGTTTTGAGGTTTCCTTAAAGGGCTCCTTAAAGGGTTCTCTAAGGGTTCAGGGTTGAGGGATTAGGGTTTGGGGTTCTATAAAAGCTGATCTTTTGGGAGCTTTCTAGGTTCCCGTTAAAGTTTCCTTGCAGGGCTCCTTAAAGGGCTCTATAAGGGTTCCATGAAGGCTTTAGGGTCTGCTAGGTTCCCGAGTAGTACCCTTTTGCCCTTGTTGTTGCCGGGAGGGGTTCCCGTATCAAAGCCAAAACGTAGGAAAAAGGGTACCCTCTCTGTTAAGGGGCTACTCAGGAACCTAGCTTTGCTCGTACCTACGGGTCCGGGTGCTCCGTATTCTAGGTTTTTAGGGCCTTTTGAAGGCACCAAAAACCAAAATAAATAACGACTAGTTGGCCCTTAGGGTGTTGTTTTCGGGACGCAGGAGGTTAATACAGGGGTCGGAATTGTTCTCAAAAAAGGTCGGACTTGGCATCGTTTAGGGGGGTTTTGGGTTTAGGGGTTTGGGGTTTTGGGGTTTTTGGGGTTTTAAGGGTTTAAGGTTTAGAAGTTTAGGGGTTTAAGGGTTTAGGAATTTAGGTTTAAGGCTGTTTTGCTTTCTGCTTTGAGAGAGCTTGCTTCAGCACCATACCTGCAAGTCTACTTTCCTCTGACACCTGTTACGAACTTACAGTTTTGCATGCATGGTATTTGTCGGCGCACATAAGCTTCGGAATCGTACACACCTTTCCAAAACTGCAATCATCTGAAGCACATGGAAGGGTAGATAGAGCCGGCTTCATAAGCCCAAAGACCCTTTATAAATATCAGAAGCCTACAATCCACAAAATCATGTGCGACTGCTACAGAAAACAAGCCCTTTACTACTTGCTGCTGCACAAGCGGAGGATGTGCTCGCATCCTCATGATCCTTACTTGGAGGATCATGGGACTTAGTAAGTGGGGTTATAAGTACCGTAGTTGGGGTTATAAGTAATTATAAGTATAGTTAGCTGAATTATAACCTTAGTTACTATAAGTCCCATGAACCTTTGAGTAACTCACCTTCAAGGATCGCTGCGACACGGACTGAGACTTTTCGGCTGCTTTCCCGCTTGCCACGGTTCTCCTTGGCCAACGACTTGTGGATGGGGCGGGTGTTGACGGCACTTCGACATCTCAGTCCCGGCACCAAGCGGCTTTTGCCCATGGTGCGAACCTGCGCCCGGATCAGCGTGCTGCAGCGCACTGTCCTGCCTGCCGCTGAGAGACAACGTGGTTTCGTCGGCAACTGCATTTTCTTGCCGCAAGCATCCCCAAGTGCCATCCAGACCGTGCTTCCTCCGGCCAGCAAGAACATGCAGGAGCACGCGTTGCACGTGCTGGTGGAGAACCCCAGAAAATCGCTTTAAACTCCCTAAGCCCTATTACCCAAAAACTTGAGGCCTAAACCCTAAACCCCAACCCTAAACTGTAAACCGCACGCCCTAAACCAAAAGCTCTAAGCCTGAGCCGAGGCCTCAAAGTAGTTCCTTTTGGGGATTATAATTACCTTATAGGGTTCTATATACGAACCCCAAAAAGGAACTACTTTGGGGCCTTTGGGTAAGCCTGAGCCGAGGCCTCCAACTGGCTCTGGCCATCTGCGCAAGCTACTTCACGCTCTTTGGTGTTCTTCTGGTTGGCTCTTTAGACTTTAACTTTTTGGGTTTCTATATGAATTATAATAAGGAGGCTAAAAGTTTAACTTTTAGGAGGGGTTCAGAAGTCAGCCAAGGCTCTCTCTATCGGTGCAGCCGTATCGCCATCGAGGCCTCGAGATGGATTGCAGGATTGCTCTTCGTGGGTCTTTAGGTCTTAGGGCTTAGGGCTTAGGTTGGGTTTAGTGTTTAGGGTTAGTTTAGGGTTTAGGTTGGGTTTAGGGTTTCGCGCTTTAGGGCTTAGGTTGGGTTGAGGGGTGGAGCCTGTAGGGTTTGGGCCAATTTGGGGTTTAGGTTTTAAGGACTCGGAATATCGAAGCAAAGCGTTTTACGGCTCTAAGTTTTCACGGTGCGAGGTCTTCAAGGCTACATGCATTCTGAGATCTTTGAGGCTTATTATGTTGAGCCTCAAGGGCAAGCACACCTTCCACGAAGGCTTTCAAGAGCAGTATGCGACTCCTGAAGCAATCTATAGTAAACCCCAAAAAGTTGGAAACCGGGTTACGGCCAAATAGTGCTGGGATTCCCTATACATTACTCTTAAGGATTGAGGCTATAGGGTTTCCAACATTTCGGCTTCCACTGTACAGCATCTTCGGACGCTTTGCAAAGCCAAGCACGAAACCTTCTTGCTCCAGAGAGCTGGAAGCTCACAGCCCTGAAATGAAACAAACCTTGAGCGCCGGGACTTGTCAGTTACTATATAGGGGCCTAAACCATTATACCAATACTATTTTGGCGGCTTCCTCATTTTACTTATATTATAATAGGCCCCAAATCCCCAATCTATTTATTAAGGCCCCTATATTACGTTCCTCTAAGCCCGAATCACCATCTGGGCTCTAAATTGCTGCAATTACCTTCATTGTCCTATGATCAGAAATCACGTACTCAAAAAAAACAAGAGTTGCATTTGAGCATCGAGGCAAGGCGTTAACAACAACCCGCCTGATATAGAAGACGTTCAAAACTAGGAATCCGTTAAACGGGTTCAATACAATGATATTGGTACAGTCGTGTACCCTGAAATCCCACTCTGTCACTGAAATCTCATCCTATGAAGGCCCCGATATTGAATTCGGGAGGTCTGAACGTGCTGGAGAGCTGCTTCGCCTTCTTGAATGTCGGGCCCCCAGATGATCCACGAGGGTTTTGGGGTTTTGGCGTTTTGGCGTTGGGGGCGAGGGGTTTTGGGATTTGTTGCTCCATGGTTGATTTTTAGGGTCTTGAGTTCAGGCCACGCTGAGGCGCTCAAACTTCGTGAGAGCCAGCAGTCTGCTTCAGTGCCGTAGCCTGCCTCTTCCTCTTGACTCCGTTAATCACATGTGAGCCCTATACTGTCATGTCTGTTCTGGCTCGGACGATGGATGCGAAATAGGCAGCAGAAAGGGCACGTCATCTGGATCCGTCATGCTTGCACCATTGGACCATCCGTGCGAACGAATAGGATTTGTTGCACTCTTCGGGATGGTGGTGATATAGTTATGCTTAGGTCAGCCACGTGATGATTGAGTCTGCAATGGTCCGAATCTTTGATAGCCACAGACCTGCCCGGATTTACACCTCAGGGTAAAACGCTTTACGGTCAACTCCGCATGAGCTCCACTTCTTCGCACTGATTCTGCATTAGATAACGCCAAATCCACAGACATTTCGAACGACAAAATCTCACCCCGAGAGTGCGCAACCTTAGGGAACGGGTTTGACATGGCCCAGGTACTTTGCGTGCTGATGTCCATGCAGATGGTGCCAGGGCGGCAGAGATCATTCTATCCCCTAAGGGTCCAAATACCTTATAATCACAGACTTTTCCCCATCTACAAAACTACTCTCCTTAACCCAAGTACCTACTCACTAGGTCCCTTGAACCTTAGCTTTACCGAACAGAGCCCCTGAAACTCCACCTTGCCAGAAACCTCAAACTGGAGCACTTAACTTAAGGAAGGATAAGCGAGCCTGGCCACATGCCCAAAGCTCATGTCAAGATCTTGCAATCACAAAGCAGCATTCCTCAAAACAACCCACACCCCAAACCCCTATAAGCCCAGCACCCGAAACCCTAAACTACGGTTGATGATCTAAAGCTTGCATTACCCGGAATCAGAAATATACCATGATTCCCATAATCTAGGGTCATGAAGGTAATGCAGGATGCAAATCATCAACCGTAGATCGAAGCCCCGTGGTCGCCCTGTTGCACCCCAGCAGGTCTACAGAAATTACAGTAATTAGGGACTTGGGTTTCGCGTTTAGGTTTGAGTTTAGGGTAGTCATGTAGGTTGCTATTCTGGAGCTTATGTGATAAGTTAGTGCTTGGACCCTTGGCATTACAAAATTCTCAGACCCTACGGTGTTTGGACTTTGCGAGTTTGCACTAATTATGGCTGCTACAAGCAGTGACAAGCATGTCGGGCTGTATGGCTGCATGATGACTACTTAGGGGTACTTAGAAATATTTTTTAATTTTTTGGTTATTATCTTCCCTAAGAAACAGCTAAAATTATGATTTTTGCTAGGGTTCTAAGTTCAGTATAGAAGAAGCGATAGCAGTAGTCTGGATATCCCTTCTAGAAGCCTTCTAATGCGTGATTGAAACGGAACTGTATATGCACCCGACCGTCTCTAATGTGTATGTGTCTGTATGCCTGTACGGCAATGTGACTTTTCGTTTATGTCTGTAGGCAGGTATGCATGTTGTGGGAGTTTCCGAAAATTAGGGGTGGCTTTCTTGGGGTCCTTATAGTAAGGATCCTATTATTTACAGTACTATATTTGGGTCCCCCATTTTCGGAAACTCCCATTTAGGTAGCTAGCCTTCTAGCATGGTAGGTGGGTAGAGTGCTTCGGGCCTGGATCTTCGGATAGCAGAAGCTTTCGCGTAAAGGACCAAGACTTGGGCTTGATCCTACACCGCTGGGCTTAGGGTTTAGGGTTCAGGATTCAGTGAGGGGTCAGGGCGGAGCAAGTTTGAGGACAGAGGGTTTCGGTCCTCTTTGTTCAGTTCAATCTAAGTTAGGTTTTAGGGTTTACATCTAAGGCGATGCAGGAGTCGAGGGTAGACAGAGTATACATGACATCTGCCTCAGCTGAGGAGTACTTCGGGAGCAATCCCACCTACGAGAACATCGTCTTTGCCGTGGCCTGACTGAAACCCCAAACTAGACCCAATCCCTAACTCAAACCGACGAAACGGATGAACTGATTCGCCACCATGTTATAAGAGCGATGGTAATAGCGCTTGAAGTCATAACCACCTTCCCTCCGGGCCGCCGAAGTCGTCCCGCGCTGCGTGGAAAAATCGGCAGTACCAAGCAGACTCAATTGCGATGATGCAATATTTGTTGAACGCCCGTGGGGCCTTTCCTGACATACCTCAAGACGCCGGAGGGCTATTTGGGCAAGGTTGGAGGTATGGCCTCCCGACAATTGGAATGCCCTCGTGGTGTCTTTGCGCTGCAGGTGAAGACTGTTTGGGATATTCTCGAAGCCGCTCTTTTTTACCGAGTGAGTCTCTTCTACTGCAAGAAGAAGGACCGGGAGAGCCGGCGGGAAGCCCGCGCGGCGATCAGAGCCGCCAGTGCGAAGGCGGCGGCTGCGCCAATGGTGACAAGCTCGTCTTCTACCTCAACCTCTGTCATCCTGCAGAATATCTTTCTGGTAAGCTTCTTGCAAAGTCTCCCTGGCCCCTGTGCCTTGAACCCAAAACCCAAAGCCCCAACAACAAGCATGTAAGCTCTGAACTCTTAAAAGCCCTGAACCCTAGGCTCCAAACACTGATCATACACCGTAAACCTGCGTCGACAGGGTGATCCTGCGGCTTTAGTCCTACTTACAGTAGAAGCCAGAAAATTCGAACATCATTACCCTCATGCGCCTAGAGTAAAGTAGAAGGGATCCTAGCACTAATCCTCCAAAGTCCATGTTCCAACTTTCTGGGTTTCAGGGTATGCATTCAGCATACAAGCTTTATCATCTGCTTGTGTTCTTATGTTTCAGCTTCCATCTTGAAGTTTAATCAAAGAGGAAAAGGAGGGACCCTTAATGGGGACCCCTACCCTATAATGGGCTATGTTATGGGTATATAATGGCTATATTGAGGGTACATGCCCCGGGGTCCTTATTAAGGGTCCCAACTGTTCCCCTCGAAGTTTAGGGTGCCTTAATATAGCTATTGTATACCCATTATATAGCCCATTATAGGGTAGGGATCCCCATTAAGGGTCCCTCCTTTTCCCCTTTGATTAGGGTTTACGAAGTTGATACTTCAGGCTTTGGGGTTGATGCATGAATTTCTTTGGCGGTCCTAGGTCCTAGGTATCGATTTTGGGTTTAGGGGTTTAGGGGTTTTAGGGTTTAGGGTTTATGGATTTAGGGTTTAGGGTTTTAGGGTTTAGAGTTTAGGGGTTTAGGGTTTAGGGGTTTAGGGGTTAGGGGTTAGGGGTTTGGGGTTTAGGGGTTTAGGGTTTAGGGTTAATTGCCCATGTGGTTCAATATAGAGCCCTAGTTGTAAGCAATGTTGGGGACTGTTGGTCGACACCTGTATACCTGTAGTCTCCACTGTAGCTGGTTTAACCGTAGGAACAATTGAGGATCCTATGAGGTAACCCCAAAAAAGGAAACTAGAATGCAGAGGATAGGTAGTATTGCATTGGGCCATGTTCAATCTCCCAAACTCGGGGAGCTGACGAGGCATGGAGAGACAGGTACTTTGGGGGTGTTGGGTTGTAGCCCCGAGCATCCATGAAACTGTATGGTGCACATGGGTAGTTGTCAAAATTAAGGTCCCTTTTTGGGTACCCTAAATAATAGACCCCCAAAGGGACCATAATTTTGACAACCACCCACATGAAGGAGGGCGGAACCTTGGAAAAGCTTTAAGAAAGGCACAAAGACCTGAGGGATAAGGATGGGGCTTGGGGCCAGATGGTTTAACCTGAGTCTTCGGTGTCCCCATACTCGTTTCTTCGGTAGGGTTTAAGAGTGTAGGACTTATAGGTTTCGGGCTTCGGGTTTAGGTTTAGTTCCTGAAAGCTTGGGTGAGAAAGACCGTTTTGATATCCGAATGGGGCAAGCTCCAAACAAAGACTGCGGCTGATGGCTTTAGGGTATGTAGGTATCTGAGGCTCTGGGAATTGTAGTGTGGTTGGTCCCCAGTATGTGCAGTGCATGAGTTCAGTCTTGGGGATCTTGTGTTTCGAGTGTTCTAGTCACGGCTCATGGGGTCCATCTCGTGGTATAGCGTATAGACTAGACTTCGAAGCTCACTATCCCCAAATACTACAAGTGGCAGGTGCCAGACCACTCGGTATAGAAAGGTGAAAGGTTCATTATGCCAAAATCGGTTAGCGTCGCAGCGCTGCAGTTGGTGTTCGGCTACGGCACGCTGGGCGTCGTGGTGCTTGTGATGTGGTCGTTCTTCTTCGCTTGGGAAAAGACCTTCCAGGACCACCGCAGACGGATGCGCTGTAGGTTCCAGGCCCCAAATAAGGGCTGCTGATTTTGGTTCGGGCTTGTTGTGCTTGAGGGTGTTTTGCGCGATTTCAGAGGTGTGTAGGGCTGTTAAGATGTTCATGTCCGTTAGGGCTTTAGGGTCTTTGGGTTTTTCGTTGTTTTTTTGAAGTGTTTCCCTTGTTTTATATATGTTTTTGCAGATTCCCACCATTTTGCGCGTAGGATCAAAGGCACGTCATATGACAAGCGAAGCATTGCCTACTTTCGGGTGCCTCATGTATCCAAAAAGTATCTACTTTGGCCCCAATGTACCTATATAGACGCCAAGATATTTACTTTTTGGGTACATGGACCCTTATACTCTAAAACTCTATAGAGTCCTCAAAGGGACCCTTTCATCATTTAAAGGAACCCCTATAGGAACCCTTATGGGATGCTAATCTGAAATGGCGAAGACGAAGAAGGCAGGGGAGAGCTTTGCTCACCCACATGGCCCAAAACCCTAAGCCTCTCGAAGAGGCATAAGGCCCATGTCGCATACTTGGCACAAGCAGAAGCCGGCCTTCTCCTTGTCCGTGGTCATGGTCACCGGTTGTTTTGCAGTCCACTCCCCCAAAGGATCCTATGTACTGTTATGGGGAATACTTCCCCAAATCAGATAGTAAGTCCTAACATAGAAACCCTACATTCTACCAATCGGTACTTTGGACCCTTTGGGTCCCTGAAGCCTCAGTAGGCTTCGAAGAATCGCCCGACAAAGCCCGTACCTGAACGCCGACCCCCGGGAGGAAAGTAGATCCCCTAATTTTGGCCCCTATACTACCAAGGGTACTTTATAGGAACCCCCATTAAGGGATCTACTTTTTGGATCCTCCGGGGGTCTGGGAAACCGTGCACCCTGAACCTTACCTCAAACTAGCATAGCTCATATTGGGTGAGGTTTGCTAGTTCAAGGCACCCCGCTACAAGCTCCAGCATGAACTGAAGAAATGCGGTGCAGATACTACCTGGACCACGGAAAACCTACACTTTCTGGGCTCCATAACATAAGGCCCCTACATTACTGGCTACAAAGGTAGCTTTAACTGCCCCTAGACCCTAAACGCCAACCCTTAAGCCCCTATAAGCTCTAAACCCTAACCCCCTGAACCCTCCGAAGCCCTGAATCGCAAACTCATCAAGGTAGGGCTTGAGTTTCGACCTCGGGGATTGCCGTTTACTGGCTTTGGAGTACCATGCTTTGATGCTTTTTTTGGGAGCTGGTATTGAAATTAAGAGAACCATTATCAAATACAAGTCTATACGTTTTTCTTCCTGGTTACTTCAAAGCCCAGTTTATGTCACCTTCAACGTTTTCCCTGCGGGTCCATGTAGGGTTTAGGCTTTGGTATATATGACTAAGAATGTGGCTCGACCTTAAAACGGCTTCTTGCATTGGCACTTTCGGGTCAATTTATACTATGCTGTTCACTATCATATAGGCACATGGACTCTCAGGGTCATGGATTCGATTTCGGGCTGAGGGTCCCGAAGGCAATCTAGGTCCGTCAGAATTAGGAATAACGTGGCAACATTGCCGTAATTTCACAACTATACTATACATATAGACTGTTACAGGGTGGGAGCAGTACCCAACCTAAACCCGTCGAAGAGAAACCCAGCCAGGAGACGTACTACGTGCTTGCGCATTCGGCTCAGGATTTAGGGTTCAGGGTTTGGGAGTTGGCGCAGGAATCGCGGTCCACGGGTTTGAATTTCCTTAGCGGCTGAGTAGGTAACCTTTTGGGGCTTACATATTCCTACCCCAGAGGGTCCAAGTACTCAAATAAGAGGGCTTTAGGTCCCAAAACCCATTCAGAGTATGGATTTTGGGATCTAAAGCCCTACTATTTGGGTACTTGGAGCCTCTGGGTACCATAACTTAAAAAGTAAAGGTTTGTTTGGGCTAGGAGTCTCAGCCCCTTAGTTTCTTCAATTGAAGAGTTTAGGGCTTACTTGGAGGGTCGGGGGACTTAGTAAGTAGTTATTTTAGAGACTTGTAAGCATCGTACCCCCCTATTTAGGGTCCCTACTAGGGTACTGATAAGTCTACTTAATACCTAATTACTAAGTCCCCCCCGACCCTCCAAGTATAGGCTTTCGGGCCGGATGTTCGGTTTAGAGGTTGCTTTAGGCTGGGGCCACACTTCTTGCGTTTCTTAGGGAAGGGATGTTGATGACAGCACGGGAGTTTCCCTGTGCCTACACATTGAGCATCTCAGCCCGAAGTTAGTTTCATAGCCCAGTAGAGACTCTTGCGGCCTGGGTAAGTACGGCTCTTTCACGCTCACAAGATTTCAAGCCAGAGCTGAGCCTTATAAATCTTAACACCCTAAGCCTAAAACATCGCAGCCTGAACTCCAAACGCAGACAGTGTATAGTATTAGTATGATTACTATTACTATTTTGATTACTATTATTATTATTAGTATGATGGCCATGATATATTATTATGATACAGGAGATGTTGCCAGCCGGCCTCGGGTTTAAGTTTGGAAGCCCCAAGACTAAAACGGGATTACATAGGGTGTAGGATGTTACGGTTCGGAACAGGAAAGAGCACTTTGGAATTGAACCTGCACGTCCGCAGCAAAGAATGCCTATCGACCCAGGATTTTGGGTTTAGGGGGTTTAGGGTTTAGGGACCTGCAGCAGCTACAGCAAAGGTAGCGGAGCAGAAGTTAATGAATCCCGAAGAGCAGGTATAGTCGGCCTTGGGCTGTTGGTTGAGTGCCATCGCTATGGACAACCATGCTAGCTTCAGATAATAAGGGACCCCCTCCAACCCTGTCCTTAAACCATCGGCCCTGAACCCAATATCAGCTGAAATAAGCAATATACCATATAAAAGCATAGTAGGATCCCCAATATGATTTAAGGAGTTCCTTAATGAAGGGATCTTGGAGTTTCTGGGCTCCCAACCGCGGTAGTATGCGAATCCTGCCTCGAGACTCAGAGGATAGAGGGTGCGATCAAGGGGCCTTGATATTTCGGCTACGGCCTTGTGGGATAGCCCACTATATCAATGACAGGAACCTTAGGGAAAAATGCATATTACTGATTGTCCAGGATCAGAAAGACACCGTATATGATTTCGGGCAGGTTCAGGGTTTAGGGTTTAGGGTTTAGGGGTTTAGGATTTAGGGTTTAGGGTTTAGACACTGGCGAAGAAAATTTGACCCCAGGGTGCAAGGTAAGACACGAGGTTTTATAGTACCCTTCACCTTGAAGCCTAAGCTAGGGGCCCGATGGTGTAGGTGAAGTCTGATTTTACTTCGTCCTTAGAATGCCGAATGCAGAAGCTGGAGTAATTGCAAAGATTATTCATTATTCCTTAGGGTAATGTTTTGCAACCATACGATATTCTGCCCCGAAACCCTATCGCAATTACATGTGAAGGCCTCAACCCCAAGGCCTTCAAGCGTGACCCCGAGCTTTTGAGGTTCCAGTGGCGGTGCAGGGTTCAGGGCCCTACGGTTGATGATATAAATCCTGCATTACCCAGAATGAGAAATATCCCATAAATGCCATAGTTTAGGGTCATTAAGGTGATGCAGGATTTATATCATCAACCGTATTAACAAGCATTATGCGAATCCAAAGGCACTCGAAAGCCTAGCAGAATCCCCGCGCCAGTGACTAATCCTACAACAAGCTGCCGATTAAGGAATGTACCGTAGATCCTTAGATGGTATCAATCAAGTATCCACACAATGTAAAGTTGTCTGCTTAACTACGGGATTCAGGAGTCTCCGCCTTACCCATAGGCGCCATAGTAGTTCCTTTTCGGGATGACCTTACAGGATTCTACATATGAACCCCCAAAAGGAACTACTTTGGGGCCTATGGGTAAACCCTTTCAAGAAGCCGCGGGTAGAAGAGAAAGCTCCTAGGTCGGGGGACTTCATGTGCCAGGGCGGCCAAGGGGCACCTGGCACTGCAGTTTAGGGTTCAGAGTTTGCTTACAGGGTTTAGGGTTTAGGGTTTAGGGTTCAGAGTTTGCTTACAGGGTTTAGGGTTTAGGGTTCGGAGTTTGATTACAGGGTTTATAGGCTTAGCTTTTTGGGTTCGGGATTTGTTGTTATTCGTTGTTTGGGAGCTTTGTCTTTGTTTATTCTTGCTGTAGTCTTATGGTGTTTAGCGTGAGGACAGGGCTTTCGGGTTGAGGACGGGGATTTACGTTTCAGCATTGTACGTGTCCATTGAGCACCGCAGCATTTGCTAGATAATGTCTAAACTGCCGCGGACATGTTCACGTCGCGCACTGAATTACTATGTCTGTTCGCCAAAGCTAGTTGACAACTGTTGACACACCAGCTCAGTAGGCGTCGTAGCAATGATTCGTGCTGTCCCGAGTACATCAATAGCAACTATATACTCAGGGACAGCAAAGCGTATGCTATGTGTCGCAAAGCCACACAGAGAGACAGAGAGAGAGAGAGAAGGACATGCAAGCAGCAAGCAACTGGGCTCATGCAGGGTCTCACAACTAAACTCGAAAGCATATCCAAGCGCCGTACACTCGTCTGTGTGCGTGTGTGTGTGTGTGTGTGTGTGTGCGTATCTGTGACAGCGCATCCTAGACGAGGTTGCAGGAAACCAGATGGCAAATTGCATGGACAACTCAATATGAGGTACGTGCGTGTGTGGACACCCAAGCCTCGAGACCACGAAGGGCCCTAGCCTAACCCTGTGTTACCCAGGACGCCGAAAAGCCCACGGTACCAGGTGGCACGGGGGCGCCAGGGTGGTCTCTTCGGCATTTACAAGGACAAGGTTGATATTCGCGGCAAGGGATAGGTGGAGAGTGCAGGATCGTGGTGGTCATCGGCTTCGCATGGCATGCGTCATGATATTAGTGGGGCACGGTTGATGGTTTGCAGCGTCGAGGATTCTGACTTTCGTTTTGCCTTAAACTCAAACCCTATACGCCCCAAGCCCAGAAACCGAAACCCTGAATGGCCCTGAATCCTAAACCCTGAACACCTGCAAACAAGGAAAGCAGCCAACACCCACTCGACTTCGGCACCTTCCCCTTGCCTTTATCCTACCTACAAGGTCAAACTTTACCCCTGTTTCAGCAAACCTAGTTTTATGGTTAGGATCTGTTTTCCAGACAATTAGGTGCCTTAAAGAAGGGGTAGGGTATGAGCCTCTAGGTAGGTTTCGGCTTTAACCATCGTATCTTAGCCTTTCACCACAATGTGAGAGTCTCAGTGTTTGAAGATCCTTGAATATATGACGTTAGATAGTAGGATCCTTCTTGCTTGAAAGCCCTAACCCCTGTTATATAGGGGCCTTAATGATTACCTAGACTGTTTTGGGGCTTCTTTACTATAATTGCAGTAGAATGGGCCCCAAAACCCTATTCTAACTATTAGGGCGCCTATAGCAGACACCCTGGGCCGTAGGGAGTCAGCACGAGCTGCGGAACCTTCCGATGCTCACTCGAGTCGTGCAGTCTTGCGAAGATCTGAGCCTCGCATGCACTCAGAATGTAGTTCTACGTGGGAGTTTCAGAAAAAGGAGGCGGTCAAATTTGAGATTCGTATTTGTACATGTGATTTCCAGGAGTCGTTGATCAGATGGCCCAATTACCTACTTTAAAACGTACACTACTTTAAGTGGTTGGTTTTGGGTCAGTCAGGGCCGGGGCGGGACAAGTAGCGAAAAGTATAGTGTTTTGGGTGGGTTAGGGACTATGGTTTTGGGAGTTTAACTGCCGGGGCTTTGAGTTTTAGGTGTTTTTTGTGGTATGAATTGTGGTCGGAAAACTTAGTTAATTTTGGGGGGCAGAAATTAGCTGTTTCGGTATTGGGGTGCGAAGCTAGATTTCTGAAATAGTATATGAAAAGGTTATCAACTTCAGAGGCCTTTCGTCGTTCGCTTTTCGTTGGCCATCGAGCACATCGTTTTCATCCTCGACGTGGACGTTCGGAGGTGGCCCTGGCAAGTGTTGGGGTTTGGGTTTGTGCGTGCAGGAGTGTTGCTTGCCAGTGCATGTCACCTGAGTTTGTGCAGTTGCAGCTGAGCTTGCATGGATTGATTTTTTCGGCAGCATTCAGTGGCCCCAAAGTGCATTGATGTCCCGATCATGTCACAGATCTTACTTCTAAATACCATTCTCACTTTCGCAGATTTCACAGCTTTCTTTTTGGTCGCTCGGGGTTTCTTGGTCGTTCGGTCTTTAGGCCGTTCGGGTTGTGTTGGTCGTTCGGTCTTTATTTAGGCCGTTCGATTTTTGGTAGTGTCGTCACGATGTCTCTCGGCGGCCGCAATGGACCTCGTCGTGCGAATGAGGACCTGGACTATGAGCAGCTCGAGGGCAACATCGACGAGGGGTCGTTCTGGCAGGGCCCGTTGATCGTTGCCTGGGGGGCAGAGGAGACATATGCCACGTCCAGTCGTACGGGGGTCGTTCGTAGCTTGCCTTAAATTATGATGCCAGGGATGTGTGACTGTGTGGCTTCAGGTGTCACTTCAAGGCTGTCCAATCAGTTTGCGATCTAAGGCCAGAAAGGCCACTCGGTAGGTAATGCCGGCGTTCTTGAAGAAGAGGTGGTATGAGTTGATGGGGACCCAGACCTCCATCGACGTTCGGGGCATGTGGCCTAACGATAAGGAGGCCGCTCGAGTTGCTGGCAACTTGGTTTAATTAATTGATTAAGGCGGCTTGTGAGGTTTGGTCGTTCGAGGGTTTTTGAAATTGAGGTAACCCGCTCTGCGTGTATGCCGCCTGGCGAGCGGCGTTCGAGCAGCAAGAGTTCATCCCGGCCTTCCTTGTTTGCTACAACCTGCTCCAGGCCCTCGTGCCGCTCGAGGGTCGTTCGGTTTTGCAGATCATTTGTAGCCTGGATGCATCTAGGGACATTCCGCGAAGCCAAAATATGATTGAAGCCATGATTTATCCAGCATGACTCCAGTGCAACCAAGGCTCCCATGGCAAAAACCGCTCGGCGTCCATCGGGGTCGCTCTGAGTGCTTTGTGTCGCATCCCGATTTGGCTCCCGACGTTCGGAGATGCCCATCGGGAGTGGTGGGCGATCGCCCAATTGCCGGACGTGGCCATGGAGGAGCTGCAAAACTTGGTGTCGTCCAACCGGCCGGTCAAAGGTCCCCAGACTCCGCCAGGTCCCCCGGGGGCCCCGCCTCCCGGTGGGGTTCAATACCAAGGGACGTTCGACAAGGCGGATATGGGGGCCTCCATGCCATCCCTTGGCCATCCGATTCGAGATGCCGCCTCTCGGATGGATAGTGTTGTGATCTTTGCGATTCGGTTGTTGCTTCATGGCCTCGCGAGGTTCGCTATGAGATATGGCAAGTGGCGCCCGCCGTGCTCCTGGAGCTCGACGACCTTCGGTTGGACGACCAGTGTATGCGGGCCTTTCGGATAGCATTTAGTAAGCATGCCGACAGGAGTGAGTTCAGACTTGCATTTGAAAACATCCACTTTGAATCCTGAGTCTATCTCCAACATGGCCGGCCGTGGAGTGGAGGGGGCGCAGTTCGTGCGTGAGCTTTTCCAGATCTTCCAGCGAGACTTGGCTGCTTTAGTTGGGTCGTTCGATGGTCGTTCGGTTTCGCGAAATTTTGTAGCTGAGGCGAGAATCAGGAGGACCTTCGGAAGTACGACAATCCGTCGGCCGCAATTACACGGGCCATTCGGAAGGAAATGGATCGCTTGCGGCCGGAGATCCCGGGGCTGCCTGGCATCTTGGACCACAATAACTAAAGTGAAGTTGTGCTTAGACTCAGCTGATAGGGCAAGTCCTGTTGGCCTGTGTTCTGAGGAAGCAGTGGCGATGGTCCTCGCCGTTCGGACGACCCGCCTCGCGATCATCGTCCTTCGGGCAATCGTTCGGACTGGGGTGACTACGATCCCCCTCGCCGTTCGGACGACCGTGGTGGCTTGCATGCACGAGGTTAACCAGTGAAGCTGCGGTTTTGACTTGGGACTTGGTCGTAGAGTTGAATCGAACCGGGTCTGAGGCGACGATCGTGACCGCCGTGGCCCTGGTCCTGCTCCTCGCTACGGCGATCGTCGTTCGGAGGACAGGGACTATTACAACCGCGATCGTCGCCCGAACTTCTACGACGATCGTGATCGCGATCGTCGCCCGGGCTATCGCTTTGAGCGGCGGGACTACGACGACATCTCCGATCCGGGCCACCCGGGACGTCCGGCCCCTCGCTACGGCTTTTCGGACGAGCGGGTCGCTCGTCCAGCAATGATTGATTCATGTGCTTTGTCACTTGTTTTGGCCGTTCGTTTTGCATGGCTTGCATTGAATAACAGTGTTACATTGCAGCTGCCGAGGATCGCCAGCGTCGTCGCTACTAGGCCGTTCGTGACGGCCGTGCCTAGGCTTAACTTGAACAGTCAGTTATGCTTGCAGCGAGTTGAACTTCATTGAACGTGCATCCGACTAAGGTTCGGACTGGGCCATTGGAGCCCAGCAAGCTGCGATCCTGATGTCGTTCGTTCGTCCCGGGATCTCGCGGCCAGCCTTTTTTGCGGGACGGGCGAGTAGAGCCAGCCCGCCGACAGGGGCAGGGGGGAAAAAAGAGAACGTGTTTGCGTGCACTGGAAGCTGTCTTTTGCCATGCAGCATCAACATGTGCTGCTTCTTCTGACTTCGTGGCAGGTCCTGGACGTTCGGGAGGCCGTGGCGGTGTTCGTGTCGACAATCAAAGCAGGCCGGCCGACTTTAATTAGAAACTTCGGGTAGTATGGAATTCGTGGGTTTTGCGGGTTGGTTTGTCGCTCACTTTGGAGTTCGTATTCGGGATCGGGGTGTTCTTTGATCAGGTTTGGCCGTTCGTGTGGGACACATGATAAGTGAGTGAGCCCCGAGCCTGTAATTTTCCCAAACAACAAGCCCCAGTAACAAGCCCCTAGATTCGACTTTAGAAACAGCTATATATCTCTGGTTGTAAGCTACAAAGAAGCATTCTACCTCCTGTATGTGAACAAAAAACAAAGCTTCGGCCAGACCTATAAACCCAAAACACAAGCACCCGTGGCTAGTTTTACAGCATATCTAATTTCGGTAGGACAGAACTTTGAGTAACCAAAGCCATCATTGTACAAACCAGGCCCAACGTCGTTCGAACTGAAAACAAGGCCCAAACCAAGCCGCCTTTTCCCCGGCAGGAGCGGGCGTGAGCATCTCGCAGGTCGTTCGGCGGGTTTTCGGCGTTCGGGATTACTTTGCACTAGCTTGGAGGGTTTAGATTGGTGCTAGTAACACAGTCTACGGGAAGCGAGGACGTTCGGAAGACCCCAAACACATCCTAAACCACACAAGCTAAACCTTAGAGCTTAATGCTAAATCTTAGAGCCCCCAAACAGACCACAGACTGGGAGCCCAAACCCCAAGCCCTTTAGCGACATGCCTTGAGTGTTTTTTGGGACGTTCGAAATGCATTGGATCTGTGCGTGTGTGCTTCTGGTTCCAGGGTTGAGATAGGGCACATCAGTTAGTAGGAAAGCCCCCGTCATCATCCGTGCTGCTTGGTCCGTCGGTCGTTCGTGGTCCTTCGGACTTGCTTTGCTTTTCGTCTTCGTCGTCGTTCGTGGTCCTTCGTGGTCTCTCGTAGGCCTCACGACCCATGGCGAAATCGGGCTCGGCAGCGGCGAGTCGCAAGGCGGCCGTAGCAAAGAAGCAGGCCGACAAGCAGGCCGCTCGACGTCGGGCGAAGGAAGAGAAGCTCGCCAAAAAAAGCGAGAAGGTCTTCGCGAAGTCTCTCGCCAGCTTCCAAAAGTCCTCGGCCGAGCGAGCGAGGGCCTACGTGGACCAGCAGCTGGACGACAACCCAGGTTGGGTGCGGCCTCTCGCGGATTTGATGCGAGACGGAGCTCTCCAGGCACTGATTCGCAACGGTGGGACGGAGGCCGACGGAGGCCGGTCGTCTTCGAGCATGGCACCACGGTGGACAGGCAAAGCGAAAAGCTTTGGTTGTTTGCCGGACGAAGCCAAAGCTCACATGCTTGAGGTCATCGGCGTGAAGATCCCAGAAGATGGCACCGATGAGGACACTCTCACGGCGTTCTTTTGTGTGCAATTCTTTGTCGATCCGGACACCAGCCTCCCGCCCAACTGTCGGCCGTTCGATGTGTTGACGGAGATGGCCGAGGCCCGTTTCAAGCAGCTCGGGTCCACGAGAATCGCCACCGAGGTCAAGGAAACGGAGTGCTACACCTTCACCCCGCCATTGTCGATCAAGTGCCCTTTGACGGACGAGGTGGTCACTCTGCCACCGTTGACGGGTGAGGATACGTGGGAGTTGACAGATCCAACTTTGCCATCGTGCTCCGTGCAATCAAAGGCAAACCCGGCCGTGTCGTTCGCCGTTCGCAGTCTCTTCCAGCTGCTAAGGCCGATCGACCCAGAGGCCAAGTGGAATGGCAAGAAGAAGTGAGCTTTCCTTGTGCGTCTCACGGGGTTCGGCCGTTGTCGTCACTCGCACAACGG